GCAAGCGCTCCATTCTGTGTGTGTCTGACTTTGTGTGGCTTGACTCTCTTGTGTGTGTGGCTTGACTGTCTGTGTGTGTCACTGTGTGTTTGACTTTGTGTGAATATTGCATTTGATTGTGATGCGTTACTGTGTGTTTAACTCTGTGTGTGTGATTGTGTGAATATTGTGCATTTGACTGATGTGTGACTGTGTGAGTATTGTATTTTGATAATGATTGTGTGTGGCTTGACTGTGTGTGTGGCTTGTCTGCTTTGCTGAATGATTGGTTGTTGTGGCTTAACACTGCCTCTGCCGGTCCCAAGCCCGGATGTGAAAATGTGGAGGGAGTCTGTTTCTTGTGTGCAAGTGCTACATTGTGTGTGACTGTGTGTGTGATGTGTCCGTATCTATGTCTGTTTCTTTTGTCTTGATTGTGTGCAAGTGCTTGATTGGGTGTGTGCTTGTGTGACCATGCGTGTATTGCATTTGCTTGACGGTGTGCTTTGTATAACTTGTGTTTTATATGTCAGGATTGATTGTTGTTTGTTGAATTTGAACAGATCTAACACTATTCTTTTTTCTAAACTTTTTTGTGATTATGTCTTATGTGGATACCATACTCTTTTTTGTATTATTGTTGTCCAGTCACTGGAATAACGCTTTTCTAAGTATTTAAGGTACATCCATGTAGATCTAGACATGATGCTGATGGGTTGGGTTTGCATACAATGCAGGTATATTTACGTTCTTTACATTTGTGACAGTCCCAAAACTTTTATTTAGCCAAATTTTGCTACTTCTGTTTTTAGATGGGCTGTATCCATAACTACCTATTGGCACCTGATATTTGTGCTCAAAAAATGCAGTATGGACCAACAAAATGGTCTCAATGCAAGGTGGACATATAGGCAAGAAATGTCAAGAGAGGTACTCTTTTGATTGTTTTATTTTTATGGTTTATGGGTTGTATTTTACATTTGCCCCTTTGTGCAAGACAAACAGGGAATGTTTACTAATCTAGAAACACATTGGTTATGTGAAGATCTGATTGGTAAATATGAAGCTGATTTTGAATTCATACATATACAGAGAGAAGCTTGGACAATTGAGGAGGACATGCACTGATTAATGCCCATCGGGTATATGGGAATAGATGGGCAGAAATAGCAAAAGTTCTTCCTAGAAGGTACCGTCAAACAACTTGCATCTTATTGGGATAATGTAGCCTAGCCTTGGCCCTCTTTGTTACCAGATTCCTAGCCCCTGCCACTTCCTCATTCTTTCCTGCACATCATAACGTGTACCACACATTTGAACATTGCAGGAATCGGGTACTTCTATTTGTTCTTAGGTTCTTCTCACCTATAGCTAAAGTCAAAGACGACAAAACCAAGTGGATTATTGGATTTACAAGATACACAAAATCATCGGTAAGTTTCTATCCTTTCAAATGGCCGGATTATGAATTTTGATCAGTTTGTCTGACTTGTTTTAAACTGAATCCTTGATTCCTTGATAACTTTGATCATAAATTGATTCCCAAGTATTTTTGACTCATATGATGCTTATTACATCACAGGTCATCTAAATCTTCTTTTCTAATATGACTTTTGGTGCTGCTCATGAGGTAAGCTACTTTTCTTGCTTTCAAGAAGAAATCATTTACATCGTGGTCACTCACATTTTAAGTTGCTCATGCCATTTCAGGCTAGCCACCGGCTTGGAAGCGATGAGAGGCAATCACTGTTGTCAACTTGAAATGTATAATTTTTTAGGTATGAATGGCTTACCTTAGCCAGATTTTCTATAAGAATTTTACTCATGATACATGCCTTGCTTTCTCTTGTAAGTAGAACAAGAACACATTTGACTTTTCTTTTCTGTTCATAGTCCTACAAACTTGTGAGTAGTGTTGAAGATAATTGCTTAATCAACCTCTAATCGTTTTCAGGAACGAAGATCTGAATCACCTTCCCACCTCGAGAGAAATCAGTTTAATCATTCAGGTTCTGATTTCTTTATTCATGTATTTGCTTTCTGTTTGTGCCCCTATCTATTTCTGTTTCTTGTGTGCAAGCGCTCCATTCTGTGTGTGTCCGACTTTGTGTGGCTTGACGCTCTTGTGTGTGGCTTCACTGTCAGTGTGTGTCACTGTGTGTTTGACTGTGTGTGAATATTGTATTTGATTGTGATGCGTTACTGTTTGTTTGACTCTGTGTGTGTGATTGTGTGAATATTGTGCATTTGACTGTGCTGTGTGATTGTGTGTGTATTGTATTTTGACAATGACTGTGTGTGTGTGGCTTGTATGCTTTGCTGAATGATTGGTTGTTGTGGCTTAACACTGTCTCTGCCGGTCCCAAGCCCGGATGTGAAAATGTGGAGGGAGTCTATTTCTTGTGTGCAAGTGCTACATTGTGTGTGTGACTGTGTGTGTGATGTGTGCGTATCTATCTCTGTTTCTTTTGTCTTGATTGTGTGCAAGTGCTTGATTGGGTGTGTGCTTGTGTGACCATGCGTGTATTGCATTTGCTTCACGGTGTGGTTTGTATAACTTGTGTTTTATATGTCAGGATTGATTGTTGTTTGTTGAATTTGAACAGATCTAACACTATTCTTTTTTCTAATCTTTTTTGTGATTATCTTATGTGGATACCATACTCTTTTTTGTATTATTGTTGTCCAGTCACTGGAATAACGCTTTTCTAAGTATTTAAGGTACAACCATGTAGATCTAGACATGACGCTGATGGGTTGGGTTTGCATACAATGCAGGTATATTTATGTTCTTTACATTTTGCGACAGTCCCAAAGCTTTTATTTAGCCAAATTTTGCTACTTCTGTTTTTAGATGCGCTGTATCCATAACTACCTATTGGCACCTGATATTTGTGCTCAAAAAATGCAGTACGGACCAACAAAATGGTCTCATTGCAAGGTGGACATATAGGCAAGACATGTCAAGAGAGGTACCCTTTTGATTGTTTTATTTTTATGGTTTATTGATTGTATTTTGCATTTCCCCCTTTGTGCAAGACAAATAGGGAATGTTTACTAATCTAGAAACACACTGGTTATGTGAAGAGCTGATTGGTAAATATGAAGCTGATTTTAAATTCATACATACAGAGAGAAGCTTGGACTATTGAGGAGGAACATGCACTGATTAATGCCCATCGGATATATGGGAATAGATGGGCAGAAATAGCAAAAGTTCTTCCCTGAAGGTACCATCAAACAACTTGCATCTTATTGGGATAATGTAGCCTAGCCTTGGCCCTCTTCGTTACCAGATTCCTAGCCCCTGCCACCTCCTCATTCTTTCCTGCACACCATAACGTGTACCACACATTTGAACATTGCAGGAATCGGGTACTTCTATTTGTTCTTAGGTTCTTCTCACCTATAGCTAAAGTCAAAGAAGACAAAACCAAGTGGATTATTGGAGTTACAAGATACACAAAATCATCGGTAAGTTTCTATCCTTTTAAACGGCCAGATTATGAATTTTGATCAGTTTGTCTGACTTGTTTTAAACTGAATCCTTGATTCCTTGATAACTTTGATCATAAACTGATTCCCAAGTATATTTGACTCATATGATGCTTATTACATCACAGGTCAACTAAATCTTCTTTTCTAATATGACTGTTGGTGCTGCTCATGAGGCAAGCTACTTTTCTTGCTTTGAAGAATAAATCATTTACATTGTGGTCACTCACATTTTAAGTTGCTCATGCCATTTCAGGCTAGCCACCGACTTGGAAGCGATGAGAGGCAATCACTATTGTCAACTTGAAACGTATAATTTTTTAGGTATGAATGGCTTACCTTAGCCAGATTTTCTATAAGAATTTTGCTCATGATACATGCCTTGCTTTCTCTAGTAAGTAGAACAAGAACACATTTAACTTTTCTTTTCTGTTCATAGTCCTACAATCTTGTGGGTAGTGTTGAAGATAATCGCTTAATCAACCTAATCAACCTCTAATCGTTTTCGGGAACGAAGATCTGAATCACCCTCCCGCCTCGAGAGAAATCAGTTTAGTCATTCAGGTTCTGGTATTTCTTTATAGCTTTCTGAGTTTACCTCGGTCTTTTATGTATTTGCTTTCTGTTTGTGCCCCTATCTATTTCTGTTTCTTGTGTGCAAGCGCTCCATTCTGTGTGTGTCCGACTTTGTGTGGCTTGACTCTCTTGTGTGTGTGGCTTGACTTTCTGTGTGTGTCACTGTGTGTTTGACTGTGTGTGAATATTGCATTTGACTGTGATGCGTTACTGTGTGTTTGACTCTGTGTGTGTGATTGTGTGAATATTGTGCATTTGACTGTGATGTGTGACTGTGTGAGTATTGTATTTTGACAATGACTATGTGTGGCTTGACTGTGTGTGTGTGACTTGTATGCTTTGCTGAATGATTGGTTGTTGTGGCTTAACACTGCCTCTGCCGGTCCCAAGCCCGGATGTGAAAATGTGGAGGGAGTTTGTTTCTTGTGTGCAAGTGCTACATTGTGTGTGTGACTGTGTGTGTGATGTGTTCGTATCTATGTCTGTTTCTTTTGTCTTGATTGTGTGCAAGTGCTTGATTGGGTGTGTGCTTGTGTGACAATGCGTGTATTGCATTTGCTTGACGGTGTGGTTTGTATAACTTGTGTTTTATATGTCAGGATTGATTGTTGTTTGTTGAATTTGAACAGATCTAACACTATTCTTTTTTCTAAACTTTTTTGTGATTATGTCTTATGTGGATACCATACTCTTTTTTGTAATATTGTTGTCCAGTCACTGGAATAACGCTTTTCTAAGTATTTAAGGTACAACCATGTAGATCTAGACATGATGCTGATGGGTTGGGTTTGCATACAATGCAGGTATATTTACGTTCTTTACATTTTGCGACAGTCCCAAAACTTTTATTTAGCCAAATCTTGCTACTTCTGTTTTTAGATGCGCTGTATCCATAACTACCTATTGGCACCTGATATTTGTGCTCAAAAAATGCAGTATGGACCAACAAAATGGTCTCAATGCAAGGTGGACATATAGGCAAGACATGTCAAGAGAGGTACTCTTTTGATTGTTTTATTTTTATGGTTTATGGATTGTATTTTGCATTTCCCCCTTTGTGCAAGACAAATAGGGAATGTTTACTAATCTAGAAACACACTGGTTATGTGAAGAGCTGATTGGTAAATATGAAGCTGATTTTGAATTCATACATACAGAGAGAAGCTTGGACTATTGAGGAGGAACATGGTAAATATGAAGCTGATTTTGAATTCATACATACAGAGAGAAGCTTGGACTATTGAGGAGGAACATGCACTGATTAATGCCCATCGGGATGGGAATAGATGGGCAGAAATAGCAAAAGTTCTTCCTAGAACGTACCGTCAAACAACTTGCATCTTATTGGGATAATGTAGCCTAGCCTTGGCCCTCTTTGTTACCAGATTCCTAGCCCCTGCCACTTCCTCATTCTTTCCTGCACATCATAACGTGTACCACACATTTGAACATTGCAGGAATCGGGTACTTCTATTTGTTCTTAGGTTCTTCTCACCTATAGCTAAAGTCAAAGACGATGAAGCCAAGTGGATTATTGGAGTTACAAGATACACAAAATCATCGGTAAGTTTCTATCCTTTCAAATGGCCGGATTATGAGTTTTGATCAGTTTGTCTGACTTGTTTTAAACTGAATCCTTGATTCCTTGATAACTTTGATCATAAACTGATTCCCAAGTATTTTTGACTCATATGATGCTTATTACATCACAGGTCATCTAAATCTTCTTTTCTAATATGACTGTTGGTGCTGCTCATGAGGTAAGCTACTTTTCTTGCTTTCAAGAATAAATCATTTACATTGTGGTCACTCACATTTTAAGTTGCTCATGCCATTTCAGGCTAGCCACCGGCTTGGAAGCGATGAGAGGCAATCACTGTTGTCAACTTGAAACGTATAATTTTTTAGGTATGAATGGCTTACCTTAGCCAGATTTTCTATAAGAATTTTGCTCATGATACATGCCTTGCTTTCTCTAGTAAGTAGAACAAGAACACATTTAACTTTTCTTTTCTGTTCATAGTCCTACAAACTTGTGGGTAGTGTTGAAGATAATCGCTTAATCAACCTAATCAACCTCTAATCATTTTTAGGAACGAAGATCTGAATCACCCTCCCGCCTCGAGAGAAATCAGTTTAGTCATTCAGGTTCTGGTATTTCTTTATAGCTTTCTGAGTTTATTTCGGTCTTTCATGTATTTGCTTTTTGTTTGTGCCCCTATCTATTTCTGTTTCTTGTGTGCAAGCTCTCCATTCTGTGTGTGTCCGACTTTGTGTGGCTTGACTCTCTTGTGTGTGTGGCTTGACTGTCTGTGTGTGTCACTGTGTGTTTGACTGTGTGTGAATATTGCATTTGACTGTCATGCGTTACTGTGTGTTTGACTCTGTGTGTGTGTTTGTGTGAATATTGTGCATTTGACTGTGATGTGTGACTGTGTGAGTATTGTATTTTGACAATGACTATGTGTGGCTTGACTGTGTGTGTGTGGCTTGTATGCTTTGCTGAATGATTGGTTGTTGTGGCTTAACACTGCCTCTGCCGGTCCCAAGCCCGGATGTGAAAATGTGGAGGGAGTCTGTTTCTTGTGTGCAAGTGCTACATTGTGTGTGTGACTGTGTGTGTGATGTGTTCGTATCTATGTCTGTTTCTTTTGTCTTGATTGTGTGCAAGTGCTTGATTGGGTGTGTGCTTGTGTGACCATGCGTGTATTGCATTTGCTTGACGGTGTGGTTTGTATAACTTGTGTTTTATATGTCAGGATTGATTGTTGTTTGTTGAATTTGAACAGATCTAACACTATTCTTTTTTCTAAACTTTTTTGTGATTATGTCTTATGTGGATACCATACTCTTTTTTGTATTATTGTTGTTCAGTCACTGGAATAACGCTTTTCTAAGTATTTAAGGTACAACCATGTAGATCTAGACATGATGCTGATGGGTTGGGTTTGCATACGATGCATGTATATTTACGTTCTTTACATTTTGCGACAGTCCCAAAACTTTTATTTAGCCAAATTTTGCTACTTCTGTTTTTAGATGCGCTGTATCCATAACTACCTATTGGCACCTGATATTTGTGCTCAAAAAATGCAGTATGGACCAACAAAATGGTCTCATTGCAAGGTGGACATATAGGCAAGACATGTCAAGAGAGGTACTCTTTTGATTGTTTTATTTTTATGGTTTATGGATTGTATTTTGCATTTCACCCTTTGTGCAAGACAAATAGGGAATGTTTACTAATCTAGAAACACATTGGTTATGTGAAGAGCTGATTGGTAAATATGAAGCTGATTTTGAATTCATACATACAGAGAGAAGCTTGGACTATTGAGGAGGAACATGCACTGATTAATGCCCATCAGGTATATGGGAATAGATGGGCAGAAATAGCAAAAGTTCTTCCTAGAAGGTACCGTCAAACAACTTGCATCTTATTGGGATAATATAGCCTAGCCTTGGCCCTCTTTGTTACCACATTCCTAGCCCCTGCTACCTCCTCATTCTTTCCTGCACATCATAACGTGTACCACACATTTGAACATTGCAGGAATCGGGTACTTCTATTTGTTCTTAGGTTCTTCTCACCTATAGCTAAAGTCAAAGAAGACAAAACCAAGTGGATTATTGGAGTTACAAGATACACAAAATCATTGGTAAGTTTCTATCCTTTCAAATGGCCGGATTATGAATTTTGATCAGTTTGTCTGACTTGTTTTAAACTGAATCCTTGATTCCTTGATAACTTTGATCATAAACTGATTCCCAAGTATTTTTGACTCATATGATGCTTATTACATCACATGTCATCTAAATCTTCTTTTCTAATATGACTGTTGGTGCTGCTCATGAGGTAAGCTACTTTTCTTGCTTTCAAGAATAAATCATTTACATCGTGGTCACTCACATTTTAAGTTGCTCATGCCATTTCAGGCTAGCCACCGGCTTGGAAGCGATGAGAGGCAATCACTGTTGTCAACTTGAAACGTATAATTTATTAGCTATGAATGGCTTATCTTAGCCATATTTTCTATAAGAATTTTGCTCATGATACATGCCTTGCTTTCTCTAGTAAGTAGAACAAGAACACATTTAACTTTACTTTTTTGTTCATAGTCCTACAAACTTGTGGTTAGTGTTGAAGATAATCGCTTAATCAACCTAATCAACTTCTAATCGTTTTCAGGAACGAAGATCTGAATCACCCTCCCGCCTCGGGAGAAATCAGTTTAGTCATTCAGGTTCTGGTATTTATTTATGGCTTTCGGAGTTTACCTCGGTCTTTCATGTATTTGCTTTCTGTTTGTGCCCCTATCTATTTCTGTTTCTTGTGTGCAAGCACTCCATTCTCTGTGTGTCCGACTTTGTGTGGCTTGACTCTCTTGTGTGTGTGGCTTGACTGTCTGTGTGTGTCACTGTGTGTTTGACTGTGTGTGAATATTGCATTTGACTGTGATGCGTTACTGTGTGTTTGACTCTGTATGTGTGATTGTGTGAATATTGTCCATCTGACTGTGATGTGTGGCTGTGTGAGTATTGTATTTTGACAATGACTGTGTGTGGCTTGACTGTGTGTGTGTGGCTTGTATGCTTTGCTGAATGATTGGTTGTTGTGGCTTAACACTGCCTCTGCCGGTCCCAAGCCCGGATGTGAAAATGTGGAGGGAGTCTGTTTCTTGTGTGCAAGTGCTACATTGTGTGTGTGACTGTATGTGTGATGTGTCCGTATCTATGTCTGTTTCTTTTGTCTTGATTGTGTGCAAGTGCTTGATTGGGTGTGTGCTTGTGTGACCTGCGTGTATTGCATTTGCTTGACGGTGTGGTTTGTATAACTTGTGTTTTATATGTCAGGATTGATTGTTGTTTGTTGAATTTGAACAGATCTAACACTATTCTTTTTTCTAAACTTTTTTGTGATTATGAATGTGGATACCATACTCTTTTGTATTATTGTTGTCCAATCACTGGAATAATGCTTTTCTAAGTATTTAAGGTACAACCATGTAGATCTAGACATGATGCTGATGGGTTGGGTTTGCATACAATGCAGGTATATTTACGTTCTTTACATTTTGCGATAGTCCCAAAACTTTTATTTAGCCAAATTTTGCTACTTCTGTTTTTAGATGCGCTGTATCCATAACTACCTATTGGCACCTGATATTTGTGCTAAAAAAATGCAGTATGGACCAACAAAATGGTCTCATTGCAAGGTGGACATATAGGCAAGACATGTCAAGAGAGGTACTTTTTTGATTGTTTTATTTTTATGGTTTATGGATTGTATTTTATATTTCCCCCTTTGTGCAAGACAAACAGGGAATGTTTACTAATCTAGAAACACACTGGTTATGTGAAGAGCTGATTGGTAAATATGAAGCTGATTTTGAATTCATACGTACAGAGAGAAGCTTGGACTATTGAGGAGGAACATGCACTGATTAATGCCCATCGGGTATATGGGAATATATGGGCAGAAATAGCAAAACTTCTTCCTAGAAGGTACCGTCAAACAACTTGCATCTTATTGGGATAATGTAGTCTAGCCTTGGCCCTCTTTGTTACCAGATTCCTAGCCCCTGCCACTTCCTCATTCTTTCCTGCACATCATAACGTGTACCACACATTTGAACATTGCAGGAATCGGGTACTTCTATTTGTTCTTAGGTTCTTCTCACCTATAGCTAAAGTCAAAGACGACGAAGCCAAGTGGATTTTTGGAGTTACAAGATACACAAAATCATCGCTAAGTTTCTATCCTTTCAAATGGCCGGATTATGAATTTTGATCAGTTTGTCTGACTTGTTTTAAACTGAATCCTTGATTCCTTGATAACTTTGATCATAAACTGATTCCCAAGTATTTTTGACTCATATGATGCTTATTACATCACAGGTCATCTAAATCTTCTTTTCTAATATGACTGTTGGTGCTGCTCATGAGGTAAGCTACTTTTCTTGCTTTCAAGAATAAATCATTTACATCGTGGTCACGCACATTTTAAGTTGCTCATGCCATTTCAGGCTAGCCACCGGCTTGGAAGCGATGAGAGGCAATCACTGTTGTCAACTTGAAACGTATAATTTTTTAGGTATGAATGGCTTACCTTAGCCAGATTTTCTATAAGAATTTTGCTCATGATACATGCCTTGCTTTCTCTAGTAAGTAGAACAAGAAAACATTTAACTTTTCTTTTCTGTTCATAGTCCTACAAACTTGTGGGTAGTGTTGAAGATAATCGCTTAATCAACCTAATCAACCTCTAATCGTTTTTAGGAACGAAGATCTGAATCACCCTCCCGCCTCGAGAGAAATCAGTTTAGTCATTCAGGTTCTGGTATTTCTTTATAGCTTTCTGAGTTTATTTCGGTCTTTCATGTATTTGCTTTTTGTTTGTGCCCCTATCTATTTCTGTTTCTTGTGTGCAAGCGCTCCATTCTGTGTGTGTCCGACTTTGTGTGGCTTGACTCTCTTGTGTGTGTGGCTTGACTGTCTTGTGTGTCACTGTGTGTTTGACTGTGTGTGAATATTGCATTTGACTGTGATGCGTTACTGTGTGTTTGACTCTGTGTGTGTGATTGTGTGAATATTGTGCATTTGACTGTGATGTGTGACTGTGTGAGTATTGCATTTTGACAATGACTATGTGTGGCTTGACTGTGTGTGTGTGGCTTGTATGCTTTGCTGAATGATTGGTTGTTGTGGCTTAACACTGCCTCCGCCGGTCCCAAGGCCGGATGTGAAAAATGTGGAGGGAGTCTGTTTCTTGTGTGCAAGTGCTACATTGTGTGTGTGACTGTGTGTGTGATGTGTCCGTATCTATGTCTGTTTCTTTTGTCTTGATTGTGTGCAAGTGCTTGATTGGGTGTGTGCTTGTGTGACCATGCGTGTATTGCATTTGCTTGACGGTGTGGTTTGTATAACTTGTGTTTTATATGTCAGGATTGATTGTTGTTTGTTGAATTTGAACAGATCTAACACTATTCTTTTTTCTAAACTTTTTTGTGATTATGTCTTATGTGGATACCATACTCTTTTTTGTATTATTGTTGTCCAGTCACTGCAATAACGCTTTTCTAAGTATTTAAGGTACAACCATGTAGATCTAGACATGATGCTGATGGGTTGGGTTTGCATACAATGCAGGTATATTTACGTTCTTTACATTTTGCGACAGTCTCAAAACTTTTATTTAGCCAAATTTTGCTACTTCTGTTTTTAGATGCGTTGTATCCATAACTACCTATTGACACCTGATATTTGTGCTCAAAAAATGCAGTACGGACCAACAAAATGGTCTCATTGCAAGGTGGACATATAGGCAAGACATGGGAAGAGAGGTGCTCTTTTGATTGTTTTATTTTTATGGTTTATGGATTGTATTTTGCATTTCACCCTTTGTGCAAGACAAATAGGGAATGTTTACTAATCTGGAAACACACTGGTTATGTGAAGAGCTGATTGGTAAATATGAAGCTGATTTTGAATTCATACATACAGAGAGAAGCTTGGACTATTGAGGAGGAACATGCACTGATTAATGCCCATCGGGATGGGAATAGATGGGCAGAAATAGCAAAAGTTCTTCCTAGAACGTACCGTCAAACAACTTGCATCTTATTGGGATAATGTAGCCTAGCCTTGGCCCTCTTTGTTACCAGATTCCTAGCCCCTGCCACTTCCTCATTCTTTCCTGCACATCATAACGTGTACCACACATTTGAACATTGCAGGAATCGGGTACTTCTATTAGTTCTTAGGTTCTTCTCACCTATAGCTAAAGTCAGAGGGAACAAAACCAAGTGGATTATTGGAGTTACAAGATACACAAAATCATCGGTAAGTTTCTATCCTTTCAAATGGCCGGATTATGAGTTTTGATCAGTTTGTCTGACTTGTTTTAAACCGAATCCTTGATTCCTTGATAACTTTGATCATAAACTGATTCCCAAATATTTTTGACTCGTATGATGCTTATTACATCACAGGTCATCTAAATCTTCTTTTCTAATATGATTGTTGGTGCTGCTCATGAGGTAAGCTTCTTTTCTTGCTTTCAAGAATAAATCATTTACATTGTGGTCACTCACATTTTAAGTTGCTCATGCCATTTCAGGCTAGCCACCGGCTTGGAAGTGATGAGAGGCAATCACTGTTGTCAACTTGAAACGTATAATTTTTTAGGTATGAATGGCTTACCTTAGCCAGATTTTCTATAAGAATTTTGCTCATGTTACATGCCTTGCTTTCTCTAGTAAGTAGAACAAGAACACATATAACTTTTCTTTTCTGTTCATAGTCCTACAAACGTGTGAGTAGTGTTGAAGATAATCGCTTAATCAACCTAATCAATCTCTAATCATTTTCAGGAACGAAGATCTGAATCACCCTCACGCCTCGAGAGAAATCAGTTTAGTCATTCAGGTTCTGGTATTTCTTTATAGCTTTCTGAGTTTACTTCGGCCTTTCATGTATTTGCTTTCTGTTTGTGCCCCTATCTATTTCTGTTTCTTGTGTGCAAGCGCTCCATTCTGTGTGTGTCTGACTGTGTGGCTTGACTCTCTTGTGTGTGTGGCTTGACTGTCTGTGTGTGTCATTGTGTGTTTGACTGTGTGTGAATATTGCATTTGACTGTGATGCGTTACTGTGTGTTTGACTCTGTGTGTGTGATTGTGTGAATATTGTGCATTTGACTGTGGTGTGTGACTGTGTGAGTATTGTATTTTGACAATGACTGTGTATGGCTTGACTGTGTGTGTGGCTTGTATGCTTTGCTGAATGATTGGTTGTTGTGGCTTAACACTGCCTCTGCCGGTCCCAAGCCCGGATGTGAAAAGGTGGAGGGAGTCTGTTTCTTGTGTGCAAGTGCTACATTGTGTGTGTGATGTGTCTGTATCTATGTCTGTTTCTTTTGTCTTGATTGTGTGCAAGTGCTTGATTGGGTGTGTGCTTGTGTGACCATGCGTGTATTGCATTTGCTTGTCGGTGTGGTTTGTATAAATTGTGTTATATATGTTAGGATTAATTGTTGTTTGTTGAATTTGAACAGATCTAACACTATTCTTTTTTCTAAACTTTTTTGTGATTATGTCTTATATGGATACCATACTCTTTTTTGTATTATTGTTGTCCAGTCACTGGAATAACGCTTTTCTAAGTATTTAACGTACAGCCATGTAGATCTAGACGTGATGCTGATGGGTTGGGTTTGCATACAATGCAGGTATATTTACGTTCTTTACATTTTGTGACAGTCCCAAAACTTTTATTTAGCCAAATTTTGCTACTTCTTTTTTTAGATGCACTGTATCCATAACTACCATCCATAACTACCTATTGGCACCTGATATTTGTGCTCAAAATGTAGTATGGACCAACAAAATGGTCTCATTGCAAGGTGGACATATAGGCAAGAAATGTCAAGAGAGGTATTCTTTTGATTGCTTTATTTTTATGGTTTATGGATTGTATTTTGCATTTCCCCCTTTGTGCAAGACAAACAGGGAATGTTTACTAATTTAGAAACACACTAGTTATGTGAAGAGCTGATTGGTAAATATGAAGCTGATTTTGAATTCATACATACAGAGAGAAGCTTGCACTATTGAGGAGGAACATGCACTGATTAATGCCCATCAGGTATATGGGAATAGATGGGCAGAAATAGCAAAAGTTCTTCCTAGAAGGTACCGTCAAACAACTTGCATCTTATTGGGATAATGTAGCCTAGCCTTGGCCCTCCTTGTTACCAGATTCCTAGCCCCTGCCACTTCCTCATTCTTTCCTGCACATCATAACATGTACCACACATTTGAACATTGCAAAAATCGGGTACTTCTATTTGTTCTTCGGTTCTTCTCACCTATAGCTAAAGTCAAAGACGACAAAACCAAGTGGATTATTGGAGTTACAAGATACACAAAATCATCAGTAAGTTTCTATCCTTTCAAATGGCCGGATTATGAATTTTGATCAGTTTGTCTGACTGAATCCTTGATTCCTTGATAACTTTGATCATAAACTGATTCCCAAGTATTTTTGACTCATATGATGCTTATTACATCATAGGTCATCTAAATCTTCTTTTCTAATATGACTGTTGGTGCTGCTCATGAGGTAAGCTACTTTTCTTGCTTTCAAGAATAAATCATTTGCATTGTGGTCACTCACATTTTAAGTTGCTCATGCCATTTCAGGCTAGCCATCGGCTTGGAAGCGATGAGAGGCAATCACTGTTGTCAACTTGAAACATATAATTTTTTAGGTATGAATGGCTTACCTTAGCTAGATTTTCTATAAGAATTTTGCTCATGTTACATGCCTTGCTTTCTCTAGTAAGTAGAACAAGAACACATTTAACTTTTCTTTTCTGTTCATAGTCCTACAAACTTGTGGGTAGTGTTGAAGATAATCGCTTAATCAACCTAATCAACCTCTAATCGGTTTTAGGAACGAAGATCTGAATCACCCTCTCGCCTCGAGAGAAATCAGTTTAGTCATTCAGGTTCTGGTATTTCTTTATAGCTTTCCGAGTTTACTTCGGTCTTTCATGTATTTGCTTTCTGTTTGTGCCACTATCTATTTCTGTTTCTTGTGTGCAAGCGCTCCATTCTGTGTGTGTCCGACTTTGTGTGGCTTGACTCTCTTGTGTATGTGGCTTGACTGTCTGTGTGTGTCACTGTGTGTTTGACTGTGTGTGAATATTGCATTTGACTGTGATGCGTTACTGTGTGTTTGACTGTGTGTGTGTGATTGTGTGAATATTGTGCATTTGACTGTGATGTGTGACTGTGTGAGTATTGTATTTTGACAATGACTGTGTGTGGCTTGACTGTTTGTGTGGCTTGTATGCTTTGCTGAATGATTGGTTGTTGTGGCTTAACACTGCCTCTACCGGTCCCAAGCCCGATGTGAAAATGTGGA